AACGAAAAATGGAAACACTTATCTGTTACTCAAAACTTCAAAATTACAGAAAACCAACAATAGCAATATGTAAAATGAATGGTTAGAAAAATTGCTATTTTAGGCCGAAACCAAAGAAGAAACAGTAAACACACAAAAATCATATAGAAAGTACATATCAGGCTAATAATTTTAAGGACCAAAACTTTTATCTGTTTTAATCGGAAAAAGTAACCCTAGAACATTTTTAGTGGATTTCGTGGAAAAAAAATTACGGTTAATTTCTTAGATCTATGAAATTAATACTAAAAATAGAACTAGATGTTTATTTTCTAAAAACAAGCAAGCTTAATTCGATAAAGTAGAGCTAATTTGAAACAGATCTGAGATTTGGAGATGATGAACACAGTTAGACATAAAAACCCTAAGTTAAAGAAAGAAATTAACAGTATACTTAGTACGTTTTCTACCTAAAATTTGATAAATTCATAGCTGACATTCTTGGTCGTAAGAGTGAGACTGTGAGAGAGATACCAGCGTTGATGTCCGGAAACGAAGAAGATGGAGATGAACCCCTTACACACGGAGGACAAGGGTCTATACCCACGCTTGCTCATCTGTCCGTAGATGACAAGAGAGAGAGAGATCATTGAAGAACGACGAAAACGAAATGCTGAGATCTATGGAGATAAGGGTCTTGGCCTTCGTCCTCATCGCTTCATTTCTTTTTTTTTTTTTTTTTTGAGAAGCTTCATTTCTTTTAATATATAAGATCTTAAAATATTTTATATATATATATATATATATATATATATATATATATATATATATATATATATATATGATGATTTCATAGGTATTTAACATGTTGGGATTCTGTTTATCTAAACACTACACAAAATGTATTTTACAAAAAAAAATTCTATAATTTGTAATATATTTGGATTTAAAATGTCATATCTTTGGTTTACTTTTTTGGTATACCTAAAGTTTTAATCGTCAAACACAGTGATTAATCACCTTACTAAATTGTAGGCACCTATTTTGAAGAATAACTACATCAACTAGAAATAAAGTTTTCAAAGAAGATAACTTCAAAAGAAAAAAGCATACAAATCAACACTTATAAAATAACATGAACAATAATGTCAGTTAGCATGAATCACAATTTCAATTAGGAAAAAAAAATCAAAGTTGGCAAACAAAAAACCGAGCAAATATGGCAACATATACGGTTCACAACTGAGTGCAACTATCTTTTTGTCCTGGAAAATGAAAATTCACAACTGAGTGCAACTATTAGTTCAAAGGGTTGTCAACTAGGGATTAACGGTGAACACGCCAAAAAATCAATTAACTCATGGTACTTTTGTAGATGCTTATGTTATTTATTTTTTATTATTGGGTAATCCTGAGAGTCTTAATGTTTTAATTTGTGATGAACGCATAGGTTTTTTTATACATTACTAAAAAGGTTGTTTACAAAGAAATTTTTTTGTAATATGTAATTTTAGTTATGTGCAATGTTATAAATATTATTACTTTTATTTGCTATTATTGAGCCATTACTATTTTTAATTGTTCATAGTGAATCGAGAGGCTATGACTATCTAACCTAGAGAAATGTTTAACTACAACAGCTTAAATTGCAAAAATTGAAGTTAAAGTAATCCTAAAACAAAGTTGCAGAAGACCAATGTACAAAATACGTACATGGAGTCCTTCTTATTTATATTGAGAAATTGAAATTAAAATAGTTTCGAATATATTGAAATCATTTTATATTAATTTATATAATTAAATTTAACTATGATTAACTTTTAAATAAAATGGTAAATAAATATTTTTGAACTTACTGTAGACACAGAAAATTTGAAGCCGACAAGTGGATCGATTAAATCATTATCAAGCCCAATTTCAGGGTTAATCATTAGTCCAATTTAATTAATTGGGCTATGATAATTAAATTAATTTAATTAGTCCAAGTAAATTTGATTTGGGCTATTGAATTAAGTAATTAATTGGTCCAAGCCCATTTCATAATTGAATTATAATTATAATTATAATTTAAATATAATATGATTTTATTATATTTGAATTAGATAACCAGGACTATGTGGTCTAATGGTATCCGGGTTGGACTTCCATTTGGAAGATTATTATGAGTTCAAGCCTTAGTGGAGGCATTATTGGTTCTTTGTGTTTTAGTAGGTTGAGAAAGTATATGAACAGATACTACAATGTAATAGAGCCAGTAACTTTTAAAAAAAAAAGAATTAGATAATTATAATTTAATTTGAATTTGAATTAGATGATAGAATAATGAACATAGACTTGATTTTGGCAAGGTTCATTTTAGTAGATAATTAATTAATTTAATTAAATAAATATTAGTGGAGTTTGTTGAGGGATTTTGGTTACAAACTTCACTATAAATAGAGCCTCAATTTCATTCTTCAGATCACACCTTAAATACATTAAGAACAACTTGAAGACTTGAGAGCTTGAAGGCATTGAAGAACGCTTGACAACTTGAAGGCTTGAAGATTTGAGAGCTCTTTTGAAGGCATTTGAAGATTTAGAAGAATTAAAGGCATTGAAGGCATTTTTTGTAGGTTTTAAAGATCTTGAAGCCTTTTTGTAGGTACTTTGAAGATCTTGGAGCCTTTTGAAGGCAACTTGAAGCCATTGCAGGAGCATTAATTTGATGTTTTGCAGAGTTTATTGCTTCGGAGCTTGACGTTTGCTTTTGAAGATCACGCCGTTTGAATCCCGGAAGCTACGCCGTTTAAATCCTGGAGGCACGCGCCACTTGAATCCCGGAAGCTACGCCGTTTAAATCCCGGAGGCACGCGCCACTTGAATCCCGGAGGCTACGCTATTTGAATCCTGGAGGCACTTCAATAGATAACGGCATTGAAGAACGCTTGAAGACTTGAACGCATTTTTGTTGATTTTGCAGGCAATTTGAATCCATTGCAGGGTCGATTATTTCTAAATTGTTGACGTTCGTTGTTGAAAGTCACGCCACTTGAACGCCAGAAGCTACGCCGTTTGAATCCCGGAGGCACGCGCCATTTGAATCCCGGAGGCTACGCTATTTGAATCCCGGAGGCACTTCCATAGATAACGTTAGTGAAGAATCAGAGGACTAGACAGAGATTTTGTACCTGTATTGAATTATACACACGCTGTAAACAGATTTTGTGAATATATACAATTATATTTATAGTGTAAATATCTAATTTTTGCATTACATATTTAATATTATTTAATAATTAGTTCTTTTTAGAGTTTAATAACTAATGAGCTAAATATAGTACTAGATATATGTATAATATATAATATATATATATATATATATATATATAGAGAGAGAGAGAGAGAGAGAGAATACATATGCTACGTACTGTACTAGTATATATATATTATGAATTCTAATAGTTTTAACTATTATTATTATTATTATTATTATTATTATTATTATTATTATTATATGTTTGGTCCATTGTTAATCGCTTAGCACAAAAAGACAAAACAAACTTTAAACAATACATCTATGTTTCTTATTTCCTTCATCTTTTCATGCAGTAGACACGTACGGAGCGGAACTTCGCTATTCAGACTATAAGCAACAATTCCGGAAGACCATGTCCAGCAGCGAGAAAAATTAGCAAAATTGGATGGTTGAAATTCATTTGGCCTATTTTTAGAATGCTATAAATAGTGGGAGTTTCCTTTTGTAAATCGTTCATTCTTGATTCATTCTTCCCTCCTCTATAGTATTCGTTGAAGTTGTTATCAATGTCCATTTGTGGCTAATTTCTAGTTGGTTTAGTGAATTGAAGCCCCGGAGTTCATAACGCTGTAAGGTTATTTATTTAACTTTATTATATATATGTTTTTATGCATTTTGAGTATTAAATATTCTTCTAAATTATTTGAATAGTTGTATCATTTAATTGCTAGGGAGGCCTACTAGTTATTAATTTGATATAATTATTTGCTATATTAGATAATGTTGTGCTACAAATTATTCTAATATTCAGTAGCAACTGAGGTTAATTATCGACGGCTTAGTGATAATTGGTCTCGGGTAGAATATTTTCCTAAATTAAATGCAACCGCTTGTGCTTGTGTTATTTAGTTTGTCGGTTTTCCTAGTTCCTATTGCTTCTATTAAATTAAATCTATAGCGCTTGTCTTAGATTATTTAGTAGTTAGGGGTAATTAAACCGCTTGTGCTTTATTTACCTACAACTAAGGGAAAACAGAAATGAAATAATTTCACGACAAATATTCAATTGCATATTAATTACTTTATTAATCAATGATCAGTGTTGAATTCCGGTGGTGGATCTTTACTAACCAAGGTTTTCTATTATAAGTGTTTCAATATATTATTTTCATTGCTTTATTCGTTCAATTAAATTTCTTGTTTATTTAAATTCTCTTTTATTTTATCTTTATTCTCGATATATTCCAAACCCCCTACCTTTAATTTGAGCACAAAAGTTAAACTAGTTACTCCTCGTGGGATCGATCCTTACTCCCGCTACTACGTTTGTAAGGTTTTAATTTGGGAGCCTACGACAGCCCACCAAATTTTGGCGTCGTTGCCGGGGAGATTTTCTAGCTTATTTTGTGTTTGTTTATTTATTTGTTTATTTGTTTTTCTCGTTAATTAGTCCCAAAAAAAATTTAAAAAAATCTTTTCTTTCATTACTTTTACATAATTGCTGCAATATATTTTCTTTTTGTTTATGCCTATAACTCGATCTGCTAACAAAGAAGTCCTGCCATACAATCCAGAAATTGAAAGAACTGTACGCAGGTGGAGGAAACAAGCTTTGAGGAAACTAGAGTTTAGTGATCTGGCTACCAATTCTGCCAACTCTGATTTAGAAAAGGAACCCATGGCTCAAAATCGGACCTTAAAAGAGCTTGGAGCTCCAAATTTAGATCAACAACCATTATGCATCACTTTTCCCGCTCTAGATGCTAATGTACAATTCGAACTGAAATCTGGATTAATTCATCTTTTGCCTTCTTTTCATGGACATGCAGGTGAAGATCCTCACAAGCACTTAAAGGAATTCCATGTGGTGTGTTCAAGTATGAAACCCACTGGGGTTACTGAAGAACAAATCAAGTTAAGAGCCTTTCCCTTCTCTTTGAAAGATTCAGCGAAGGATTGGCTATACTATCTACCTTCTGGGAGCATCACCACATGGAACAACTTGAAGACAATGTTCCTTGAAAAATATTTCCCAGCTTCAAGGGCGGCCAACATTAGAAAGGAAATATGTGGTATACGGCAAAACAATGGAGAGTCATTGTATGAATATTGGGAGCGTTTCAAAAAGTTATGTGCAAGCTGCCCACACCATCAAATCAGTGATCAATTACTCATTCAATACTTTTATGAAGGACTTTTTCCGACTGATAGGAGCATGATTGATGCCGCGAGCGGTGGTGCTTTAGTTGACAAGACACCGGACGCTGCGAGAACTCTAATTGCAAACATGGCTGCAAATTCTCAACAATTTGGCAATAGGCTTGTCCAACCGTCTAAGCAAGTGAATGAGGTAAATATTTCTGCTCTTGAGCAACAAATTACTAGTCTAACTACTCTTGTTCGTCAATTAGCTGTCGGCAATGTGCAATCTGTAAAAGCATGTGGAATTTGCTCGGTAGTTGGGCACCAAACTGATGCCTGCCCAACTCTTCAAGAAGAACCTATTGAACAAGTTAACATGGCTGGAGGTTTTCCTGGACAACCTCAAGGTAAGTATGATCCGTTTTCTAATAAATATAATCCTGGATGGAGGGATCACCCAAATCTTAGTTATGGGAACTCACAAGGAAACCAGTTTGTTCAGAATCGTCCCAATTTTCAGCAGTATAGACAACCATTTCCTTCCAAACAACAACCAGTCCAAAGCTCTAGCGCAGGTATGAATTTAGAAGAAATTGTTAAATCCCTTGCTACTAACACTTTACAGTTTCAGCAGCAAACACAACAATTTCAACAAGAAACAAGAGCTAGTATTCAAGAAACGAAGGCTAGTATTCAGAACTTGGAAAGGCAGATGGGTCAACTAGCGACTACGGTAAGTCGGTTGGAATCACAGAGTTCTGGCAAACTACCCTCGCAAACGGTGGTTAATCCAAGAGAAAATGCAAGTGCAATTGTGTTGAGAAGTGGTAAGGAAATTGAAGGGCCTGCGGTTGCTACCCCATCAGTGAACCAAGAAAAAGAGGGAACTAACAACAATGAAAAATCTCAAGGTAAGTCTCCCAACCCTACTGATTATGAACCAGTTCCCCCATTCCCTCAAGCTTTGTCAGAATCTATAAAAGGAACGAAAGATGAAGAGTTATATGAAACTTTCAAAAATTGTGAAGTGAATATTCCGCTACTTGATGCAATAAAACAAGTTCCTAGATATGCTAAGTTCTTAAAGGAGTTGTGTACAACAAAAAGGAAACAAAGGTCATCAAAGGGTGAGAAAGTGCTAATGGGCAAGAATGTTTCTGCTGTGATTCAAAGCAAGCTCCCTGAAAAATGCAAGGATCCAGGTATGTTTACTATTCCCTGTATGATAGGCGATACTAAACTTGAGAAAGCCATGTTAGACTTAGGAGCATCTATTAATGTTATGCCATATTCTATGTATGCGTCTTTAAAACTTGGACCTTTGAATAAAACTAGTGTAGTTATCCAATTGGCCGATAGGTCTAATGCATATCCTAGGAGTGTAATTGAAGATGTATTGTTGCAAGTTAATAATTTAATCTTCCCTACTGATTTCTATGTGCTAGATATGGAAAATAATGATCATTCTGCACCTATTCTGTTAGGAAGACCATTTTTAAAAACTGCAAAAACAAAAATTGATATTCACAGTGGTACACTTACTATGGAATTTGATGGTAATGTTGTTACATTCAATATTTATGATGCTATGAAATACCCTGGGGGTGATAACTCCGCTTATTCTGTTGATATTATTGATTCATTGGTTGAAGAAGTTTTTGAATTTAATGGTGAAGATAAATTAGAAGTTGTTATTTGTGAACACCTTGAAAAAGGAAATAATGAGTTTTCTCTGAGTGCCAATTTATATGAAGTTATTGCATCATTGAATCATTGTCCTAAACTGCGCCAACAAAATAATGTTTCTTATATGGCTTTACCTGCTTCTAGTGAAAAATTGTTACCATCTGTTGTGCAAGCACCGATCCCCGCATTGAAACCCCTTCCTGAACACCTTAAATATGCTTTTTTAGGAGAAAATAAAACATTTCCAGTCATAATTTCAACTAAACTGTCTGCAATAGAAGAGGAAAAATTGTCCAAATGCTAAAAGAACACACAACTGCCATTGGGTGGACAATTGCAGACATCAAAGGGATAAGTCCATCCACTTGCATGCACCGAATCCTTCTAGATGAAGGAGCAGAACCATCTTGTCAACCACAAAGAAGGCTAAACCCGCCCATGATGGAAGTAGTCAAGGAAGAGGTCATCAAACTCCTTGGGGCTGGGATAATCTATCCAATTTCAGACAGCAAATGGGTTAGCCCAACTCAAGTGGTTCCTAAGAAAACAGGGATTACGGTTGTCAAAAACCAAAATGATGAACTGGTTCCCACTCGTATTCAAAATGGGTGGCGAGTTTGTATAGATTATAGGAAGTTGAATGCTGTTACAAGAAAAGATCACTTCCCCTTACCGTTTATTGACCAAATGTTAGAAAGATTAGCTGGTCGCTCTTATTTTTGTTTTCTTGATGGTTATTCAGGTTATTTCCAGATTGCAATTGCTCCGGAAGACCAGGAAAAAACGACTTTTACATGTCCCTTTGGCACTTTTGCATATCGACGCATGCCGTTTGGCCTCTGTAATGCCCCGGGTACCTTTCAAAGGTGTATGGTTAGTATATTTTCTGATTATGTAGGGCATATGATTGAAGTTTTCATGGATGATTTTACAGTTTATGGTGACTCTTTTGATACCTGCTTACATAACCTTTCGCTTATTTTGAAAAGATGTATAGAGAGTAATCTTGTGTTAAATTCTGAAAAATGTCATTTTATGGTTGAACAAGGTAATGTCTTAGGGCATGTTATTTCGTCTAGTGGGATTGAGGTTGATAAAGCCAAGGTTGATATTATTGAATCTCTGCCGTATCCCACTAATGTGCGGGAAGTCCGCTCTTTTCTTGGACATGCAGGTTTTTATCGAAGGTTTATCAAAGACTTCTCGAAAATAGCCTTACCTTTAAGCAAACTGTTGCAGAAAGAGACATCCTTTGAGTTTGACAAAGAGTGTAAAGGAGCATTTGACGAATTGAAAGAGTTGTTGACATCTGCGCCGATCATTCAGCCACCTAACTGGGACTACCCATTTGAGATTATGTGTGATGCAAGTGATCACGCAGTTGGGGCTGTGTTGGGCCAAAAGATCGGGAAATCTTCCCACGTTATTTATTATGCTTCTAGGACTTTAAATGATGCTCAGAAAAACTATTCTACTACATAGAAAGAACTTTTAGCCATTGTTTTTGCTTTAGAAAAATTTAGGTCTTATTTGCTGGGCACAAAAGTTATAGTTTATTCTGACCATGCAGCTCTTCGCTACTTGATGCAAAAGCAGGAAGCCAAACCACGATTAATAAGATGGATACTCCTCTTAAGTGAGTTTGATGTGGAGATCAAAGATAAGAAGGGGTCAGAAAATCTTGTGGCTGATCATTTGAGTCGGTTGGTACACATTAAACCTGAACCTCCACTACGAGAAGCATTCCCTGATGAACACCTATTGGCTGCAACTGTGATTTTACCTTGGTATGCTAACATAGTCAACTTTTTGGTTGCTAACAAATTTCCTTATGATTCCTCTAAGGCACAGAAAGATAAAATCAGGAGTAATGCCAAGTACTATGTATGGGATGAACCGTACCTTTGGAAACATTGTGCTGACCAAGTGGTAAGGCGGTGTGTACCTGATGATGAAATTGCTTCAATCCTTACCTTTTGTCATTCTTATGCTTGTGGAGGCCACTTTGGTGCTAAGAGAACAGCAAGGAAGGTGTTGGAGTCTGGGTTTTATTGGCCAACTTTGTTTAAAGATTCATACTCATTTTGCAAGTGTTGTGATGCTTGTCAAAAGTCAGGTAATTTATCCCGGAGAAATGAAATGCCACAAACTCCGGTCCTATTTTGTGAGGTCTTTGATGTTTGGGGCATTGATTTTATGGGCCCATTTCCTGTATCTTTTGGTTTTGTCTATATTTTACTTGCGGTTGATTATGTTTCGAAGTGGGTGGAAGCTAAAGCCACGAGGACTGATGACTCTAAAGTTGTTGCAGATTTGATCAAAACTAACATCTTTTCCAGATTTGGCATTCCGAGGGCTATAATAAGTGATCAGGGTACTCACTTTTGTAATCGCACCATCGAAGCTTTGCTTAAAAAGTATCATGTCACCCACAAGATGTCAACTGCCTACCACCCGCAGACTAACGGGCAAGCAGAGGTATCCAACCGAGAGGTAAAGTCTATCCTTGAGAAAACAGTCAACCCAAACAGGAAGGATTGGAGTTTGCGATTAGATGATGCATTGTGGGCGTACAGAACCGCATACAAAACACCTATTGGTATGTCCCCTTATCGCATTGTGTTTGGGAAAGCTTGTCACCTCCCCGTTGAGTTGGAACACAAAGCTTATTGGGCTGTCAAGAGCTTTAATATGAACATTGATGAAAGTGGCCTACACCGGAAGTTACAACTTTCTGAGTTGGAGGAGATTCGCAATGAGGCCTACGAGAATTCAAGAATCTATAAAGAAAAGACAAAAGCATTTCATGACAAGATGCTTTTGAGAAAGGAATTTTCAATTGGACAAAAGGTCCTACTCTTCCAGTCACGTCTTCGGCTTTTCCCAGGTAAGTTACGTTCTCGATGGGTTGGTCCATTTATTTTCACTAATATTTTTCCTCATGGTGCGATAGAGATTCAAAGTTTACAGACTTCTAAGATATTCAAGGTGAATGGCCATCGGCTTAAACCCTACCATGAAGGGGCTCAAGTTGATTATATTGCCGACATACTTCTTGAAGATCCCAGCTACTTTGAATAATATGCACAACTAGAAGGGGAGTTTGTTCTATTCTCTTTTTTAATCGTTATTTTTCATTTAATAATCCTTTTCTGCATGTTTTTATTCAACATTGGGGACAATGTTGGTAATAAGTGTGGGGGAGGAGATTTAGTTTTAGTTTTATTATTTGTTTGCTTATGTCACGATTTTTGTCAAAATTTTCCAAAATTTTCACAAATATTTTCTTAGTATTTTATGCTAAATAAGTATTATTTTGAAAAATGATCATATTTTCCTTTCTTGGAATTCATGACATGATTGAATAAATAGTTTGGCAAGTTGTGATTAGTTTGTTAGCATTTCCTGTTCGATGTGTAGTGGCTAGATTAAGTAAGCAATAAACCTGTGAGATTTTGAGCCATTGACTGACACTTCGGTCTTATTTTCTTTTTATTGTGTGATTTCTTCCATAATTTTGTTTCTCTAGAACTTGCCTTGATTCTCTTTTAAAGCTAATTAGACCATGCATGATTCAAGTGTGATTAAGGCCATTATTTGATTTTGAGCCTCACTAGCCAAATAACCGGGTTGTCCCATGATTTATTTTCCTTCGTTAACCCACTTTGAGCTTTATAGTCATTCTTTTCTTTATCTTGAACCACATTATAAGCCTTATATATCTAAAAATAATGCCTTGACCTAGCTGAATAACTAGTGGAGCAAATTTTGAATTATTCTTGTAATCTGCGTGAGGTTGTGAAGAATAAGTGTGGACGAGACCATTTGTTTTGAGAATGAGGTGGGTTGTATCTTCATTGCCGATTTGTCGCTGGTCTTCTATGAAAAAGAAAACGAAGACAATTCATGATTTCAAAAAAAAAATATGGAGGCTGAAAAAAAAATGAAGAAATGGGAGAAATGATGAGTGTATTTTGAAAAAATGTTGCTGAAATTTATGAGAAAAAAATGAGAAAGAATCAGCAGTTTGTTTTGAGTCTGAAGTTATCTCTGAATAAATGAAGCAAGGGGAAATTCTGGTAATACTAAGGAAGCATTCTATATTTTTGAGAATGATAGTGAAGTGTCAATGAGAAATGCTTTGAATAGAAATTGAGGGTGTTGGATTATTTGTACTTATTTGCTCCTCTAGTTTGAAGCTTATGCTTAAGCTACTTACCTAAATATTCCCTACCTTAACCCTAGCCCCATTACAACCTGTGAAAAGTCTTTATGATTTGCGTCATGCATGACTCTTGTAGTGGTAATTGAGAAGATATGCAAGCCTATGGTAGAACAATTTTATAGGAATGAACTTGAGCGAAATCTATACCCATCAAACACTTGAGTGATGAGTGATATTCCTGTGAGGGCTTACTTATTTAGCTCTATCAATTTTCAGACAGGGGTGCTAACGTATTAATTGCATGGTGCTTCAGATTGTTGTTCATGATATATTATAAGTTTTGGGAATTTAATTTTAATTTACTTCGCAAATAATATTTTTGCTTGGGGACAAGCAAATGTTTTAGTGTGGGGGAATTTGATAGGCATATTTTATACTTATATTTTACGTACATCTTTATAATATTTTTGCATTACATATTTAATATTATTTAATAATTAGTTCTTTTTAGAGTTTAATAACTAATGAGCTAAATATAGTACTAGATATATGTATAATATATAATATATATATATATATATATATATATATATATATATATAGAATACATATGCTACGTACTGTACTAGTATATATATATTATGAATTCTAATAGTTTTAACTATTATTATTATTATTATTATTATTATTATTATTATTATATATGTTTGGCCCATTGTTAATCGCTTAGCACAAAAAGACAAAACAAACTTTAAACAATACATCTATGTTTCTTATTTCCTTCATCTTTTCATGCAGTAGACACGTACGGAGCGGAACTTCGCTATTCAGACTACAAGCAACAATTCCGGAAGACCATGTCCAGCAGCGAGAAAAATTAGCAAAATTGGATGGTTGAAATTCATTTGGCCTATTTTTAGAATGCTATAAATAGTAGGAGTTTCCTTTTGTAAATCGTTCATTCTTGATTCATTCTTCCCTCCTCTATAGTATTTGTTGAAGTTGTTATCAATGTCCATTTGTGGCTAATTTCTAGTTGGTTTAGTGAATTGAAGCCCCGGAGTTCATAACGCTGTAAGGTTATTTATTTAACTTTATTATATGTATGTTTTTATGCATTTTGAGTATTAAATATTTTT